ATTTAGTGAGCCTATCTCAGAATAAAAGCCCTGAGTTCAGTCCTGAGAACAAAAAACCAAAAAACCAAAACCAAAACCAAAACCAAAACAAAAATCCAAATCAGAACCAAATCCAAAGTCAGAGAAACATCAGCAACAAAACAAAAGCAACCTCCCCAAATCACCAAAACCAAAATGAAAAACAAGAAAAAAAGTCTCCTAAATGACGTGTTTTCTATGCTAAGAGTTACATAATACTCTGTGATTAAGAAAGATGGGTTTGAAGCATGAATTTAGGATTATTACTGTAAATAGAAGTGGTAAAACTTTTATGTCAAAGGGAAGGAGTAGGCTGGGGATACACAAAAGGATCGCTAACTGGCTCCAAAGGCTTGATCAAAACTGAAAACTGCATTTCTTTTTGGTGTGAGATTTCTTGGCTCTGTGACTTTCTTCACAGAATTTAGATGTAAAAGTGGAGCAGAGGTAGACTTAGATAAATCCAATGGTTTCATTCCCTGTGCAGTGAAAGAGGGAATGAGAAGCTAAAGGGCAAATAACCATTGATTAGAGGTTATTTGAAGGGATAGATTATGAGATTTAAGCCAGCGAGGAGAGAAAAGGGAGGAAAAAAATTCAGATTTCTTTAACTTTGACTATAGGCAATAACAGAAGTAAGAACATGTAGAATCTGTAGGAAAATTTCACTGAGGAGATACATGTGATGTTTTATATTTAAGAGATGGGGTACTTTCTGTTGAAATGAGAAATTTAGAACAGTCAAAAGCATTTTGTATACCTTTTTTTTCATGAAGTGGAACACAATACATCACTAGAAAATTCATTGCTTTCTCTGTAGGGAATTATGTGTACACCAGGTGTGCTAGGCAGACACCAAGGAGTATATATTTGTGTAGTGGCAATGTTTTCTTTTGGGGCAACTGACTTTACAGAGAACAGTAATCTTAAAATTAAAGATCTTGGGTTCCACATGGGGTGATGGAAATGGATTTGCAGTTGCCAATACAAAAGCTTTAAATTTGCTGCCGTGGCGTGGACTTGTACACCTAGATACTCAGAGGCTGAGGCACCAAGTTGGGAAGTTTGAGGTCAGCCTGAACAATTTACTAAGATTCTGTGTCAAAAACTAAAAGAAAGGAAAAGAATGTATAAGAAAAGAAAAGAAAGGAAAAGGTTGATGATGTACTTCAGAGACGGAGATCCCTGGGTTCAATCCTCAGTACAGCAAACAAACTTCAGTTCTGCTTCAAAACTAAAGAGATTACAGAAAATGAATTTTTAGTAACTTGCTTGTCATTCCGCTGCTCTAAAGCTTAACACATTATACGAAGACATTGTAGTGTCTTTTACTGAGAATTGTTCTGAAAACAGTAGCCTTGTTGATTCAAAGGCTATTTCTACCTAACAAAAGTGGAAGTTTGAATCCCTAATTTATTTTTTATTATTATTTTCTTTAATCTTAGCACTTTGTATTAGTAAAAAAGTCATTGGATAATTAAACAGCTGAAGTGTGGTTTGGGTACATCAGCAAGTCTGAGGGGAATGTTTGACTTATCTGAGATGGGAAAACCCATCAAGTCATTTTAATTACATGAACTTTTCTGATTGGAAGCTGGAGTGATGGGTCTTTTCAGGTGCACAAATAAATACCAAAACTTGTTAGACTCTTTGCCTGGAACCTGTACCATAGACTGCAAGCTTTCTTCTTCTGTTTTCAACAGTGCCCTTCTCATGGGTACCTTTATTTTTAGTGCCTATTGAGACCTCCATTCTCTGTCTCGTCTTTGTCTCTTCTTCCCTCTCTCTCCATTCACCCATCTATCATCTAAAGAAGTTTAAAGTGTCTAGTCCCTATATATCATTCATAAGCAGTCATCAAATTCTATTTAGTATATTGAGGAACCATGCATATAATACTGAACAGATGAAATCATGAACATAAGTGCAAGGGCTCCTATATTCAATGGCTTTAACAAACAGACACACACTAGGAAGTTTAAATACATATTTTGAGCATAAATTTCAAAAAACTTAGTGAGGTCAGAGGCCCAATGTATTGCTATTCTGCAGTAATTATAATATTTTTTATTCTGGCTTGGTGATGGGATGATATTATGTGTGACAAGCCTAGGGAAAATTGTTTCTTTGAAATCTGGGTCACATATTGCTGTTAGTTTGTTAAAAAAGTTTCTTCAAATGAAGCTTGAAATAAATGTATATATAGGACAAAGAAGGAATATTCTTATGGAAAAGAAATATAAACCCAGAACACTTTAATTAGCTGTTTTCATTATTGATTTAAGAATCAACATTAACATGGCAGAGTATATTTTTATAAAACATCATAAAGTAAAGTAATTATGTATCAAGTAATCTTTTAGTTTCTAACGCAATTGAATCTTTCCTTTTTCTGAGTTAAAGACTGCTCAAGAAAGATTAAAATAAGTGTGCAATTTTAACCAGATGTTTCTCTAATCCTTTTGAAAGACTAGTCAGAAACAATTTTTTCATGCTTCAAGAACAATTTCAAATTATTTCTGTAAAGAAGACTCTGTGTGTAGAGGATTACATTCATTCCTGATTTCTTGTCTTGTTGACAAGACTTTTCCAACTTCCTCTCAGCTTGAAAGGAACATGAAAGGGGGTTGGAAAGCATAAAATCTGTCACTTTCCACATTAAGTTAGACAATGTTTTTTTTAGATGTGTTTTGCACACATTTTCTTATGTGTCAGGAAAGTTGAGCTCGTTTCAGGGCTCTGGTTTCTTCTGAGTGATTCTGAGTGCATATTTTAGGTGCATTTCCCCTCTGTCTGTTCCTGGATTTTTCCCCGAATCAAGAGCAAGCTTTACACTGACTTTAGATGTTGCTTACCAGCAGTCCTAACACTCCACCTCATCTTCAACTCTTTCTTTTACCTTTACCTAACATGGTATCTCATGAACCAGTATTTTTCTTGTCCTCTCTTATAAGGCGCGGCCAAGCCAACTTCAGAAATCTTATTTTTCCAATGAGTTTTTTTTGCTACTTTTCTTTCGACTGTAATTCAGTTTTTTCCAAACAGATAATAGGCTGCTGGGCCACAAATCAAGTATAGTGTCTGGCTGTAGAGTTTCTCAAGTAAAAGCTGCTGAGGATTATCATCTCCGAGCGCCTTAGGATGACAGACAAATTAGAGAAAGATGAAGAAGACTGGTTTTTCAGTGTATTAGAGGAGACAGGTAAGGAGGTCAGGGTGGTTTAATTCTCATCCCAGCCCTATGATTAGGGATACGCTTGTTTTCCTTATACCACAGTTGAGGAAAGTGAGGTGTAGAGAGGTTAACTGACTTTCCTTGGATAATATAGTTAGGAAAAAACAGCAAAGATTTAAAACTTTTTTAATTTTTGTTTTTGTGATCAAACCCAGGTCTTGTTCTCTACCACTCACCTATGTATGTCTCCAACCCTTGGAACAGGGGTTTGAACTCAGGTGTGTGTCATTTATAGACTTGTTTGAACTCTTCAGTATCATATCTTGCTAACCCAAGCAGCTATTCGGAAACTAAGTCACAAAAAGAACTTCGTACGAGAACAATTCAAATCTCAAATGTTCCATGAATGTGGAGTTCCTCTCGACATCCAATGGGTTGATGTCTGTTCGGGTTGACTTGGGGGGTGGTGGAAGATCTTGAAGATGGAACGTTTTGACAGCTCCAACAGAGATGGGCCTCACGTGAAAAACAAAGAAGCTCCCTAGGGGGCAATCAGATAAAAGTTAATATTGAGTGCAGACATTTGTTATACCTTTGTTGTTCCTCAATAAATCTCGGAGTTTGAGTCACTTCAGGACTTCATTTTCGTGGAGTTCCTGACTCTCCATAAAGATTTTCTTTGCCTTCTGTGTTTTCATTCTCTTTATCAGGGTTTGCTAGCCAAAACCTTGCATATGAATATTTGGTAGGTAGTTACATTTTGCACATTGGCATACAAAGACTGTATTGTGTCCTTAGTGAAAAGTATTACCTCTTGGATGGGTTAAACTCTGGGAAAAATTTATATGAACAAGACTTGTATGAGACTGATTTATAAAATGGAATTTTAAGAGGGCTATGTCTAGAGAATTACAATTATTAGTCATTTGTAGAAGGTATTCTCTTCAGCTACATAAGCATTCTACAGATGCATTAATAAATTAGAAGGTTCTATACTCAGAACCAAGAAAATCTTGATGGAATTTCCTTATGACAAAATTATTTTTATGCATTGAATTGTGTATCTCCAAAATTCATAGGTTGAAGTCTTAGCCTCCAGTATTTCAGAATGTGACAGTACTTGGAAATATGACCTTTATAATTCAGGTAACATGACCTGAATTATCTGAGCGGTGTCTTTAAGAGAAGAGTAGACACAGCCATGTGAGGACTCAAGGAGGTTTGCCATTTATAAGCCAAGGAGAGAGGCTGCCGAACAAATAACCCTGCTGACACTTTCATCGTGTACTTCCTAGCCTTCAAAACTATGAGCCAATGAAGTTCTGCTATTTAAGCCACTCAGACTGTGGTGTGGTCTTGAGTAAGAGTGTTGCCACAGTCTTTGTCATGGCATCCTTAGCAAACAGAAATGATGATGATGACTCTGCAGAAGGACTAGCTGCTTTTCAGTTAACAACGCTGATCACTGAGAGGTAAGTTTACCCCTCAGAGCAGTACTAGATACATACTGAATTATTTTTTAAATCTTTCCCTAGACTCCGCACTAAATCTCCTCTTGACACTCCTTTACTATTTTACTTTTTAATTACCTCGATTAGATTTGGTGAACATTGTAGACTAGTGGTGGTGAACCTATGGCATGCAGGCCACAGTGAGCTGTTTGTATCACCGAGATATAAAAGTTTCACCTTCGCTGTTTTATACCAGCAGTAAAAATTCCAAATATAATGCAAATGATTAAAGTTCCCAGTATTAAAATATATTTAGTATTACATTAAAAAATAAAAAGAGCCACATGAAGTTACTCTTGATAATATATAAACATAGGCTAACATGTTATATAATATATATTCAACACAAATTTCAATATAAAATTATTTGTGAAGAATATTGTTATTTTCATAACGTCCTCAAAACTCAGTATTTACTTTGAGAGCAATCTTATTGTTTGCTGTCCCATTTCAAATGCTTAGTAGTCAATGCATCAGGTGGCTACTGCTCGGGATGGTATAATTCTAACCCTAATGTTTAGGATTTAAGGGACACGTTCATCTATCAGCAAAGTAATTGCAAACCTTTACTGAAGGTGAGTAGTTCTGTGGAAACCGAGGTCACCTGTTAAATGAGGTCGCCTGCTAAATGTTGGCAATTTATGTTTCACAGTGTGATGTGTGGTCATCAAGAGCAAGAACTTTATCTGAGTTGGAGTCATTCTAGGTTCACATTCCTGATGGACACAGAGTGAAAGGAAGTCATTACTTGGGTTTCATTTACATAGTATTTCCCTTTATGACTTCCTAAAAACATTCTGTTTTCTTCCATAGATGTTTATAAAAGTGTCTTTTATCTGTAAAACAGTAAGAAGAAAACTATTTAAGATAGGTTATTATTCTTTTTAAAATTTGATTTTTCTTAAAAAATAAGTTAAAGGGAAAAGTGTTTCTGATGATTGGGTTCTTACTGTGCACTTGATATATGTGATCTTATTCTATCCTTTAATAATCTTTTGAGCTTTGTACAAATGAGAAAGCTGAAGTTTAGAGGTTTTAAGTGAATTTTATAAAATCAACCATATTCTTCAGAATTAGTAAAATATTCCCTCCATACTAGTGTAATTTTAAAGGATTTGTGATATGGTTAAATCTTATTCTAGTGCATGGTTAATATCTGAGAAATTTCAAATGCACATGAACAATATGACAGCCATATAAATTTTGCAGACACTTAAGCCTTTTTTTCAGAAGCATGGGTTTTTGAGGAGATGAACTCAAGTTCAAGCTCTAGCTCTTCCACTTGCTAGCTTTTTTGACCTTGGAAAATTATGTAAACTCCAGAAGACTGTTCCCTCATTTAGAAAATAAGCATATAATAGTGCCTATCTGTTAGAGTTGTATAAGGTCTAAGTGAGCTAATTCAGGAAAAGCACATGGTGTGAGGCAGATACTAAGGACTCACCAAATGTCAACAGCTTGTTGTTTTGTTTTGTTTTTTAGTCATTGGCAGTGACTGGCCTGGTATAAACTGTTTAATCTTGCAGGAATTTTCTTGAATACTCAGTAGGGCAGAATGCATTTTTTTTGTATGTTAAGTAAGATTAAGCAGTATGATTAAGCCTGAGGTATTTTTCCATAATGAATGGCACAGACTGTATTTGAGAACAACAGTTTTCAGAAACAGGTCTGACTTCTCAACAGCTTGGGGAGAGAACAAGCACCATTATAACCTCTACCTAGGCGCTAAAAGCTTAAGCCTGCAAAGACAGCAACCCTGCTTTCTTTCTGAAAGATACCTGAAGTCTGGTAAGTGCTGCTGAAGGACTTGAGCTATTAGACTCATTTTAAAAAGGGTTATGTTTTTCATAGGCCTTACTAAGATTGCTTTTCTTTCTTTCTTTTCTATGGTTGAAGTCTATGGTAAGACAGTGCAACCAAAACAATAAACATAAAAATAAAACAGTGTTTGGAATAAAAAGTAGAATGAGAAGGGGAAAGGCTTCTGTTGAGGGTTCAAGTGCTCCCACTCATCAGTTAGTCTTAACCTTTTTGATAATTATATTATGTGTAAGAGCAAAGAAGAAAAAGGGGATAAAGGTCTTAAGAGTTATATTGATAAACTATGTGTGGTGCTCAAAAATGGCATGAAATATCTTGTTTAAGCTGTAAAAATATATTAGCATGTCATGTTATCTTCATAAATTCTTCTCACACATAGGGTAGGTGGAGTCCCCGAATCCCAAGGCGCATTACTAATTCAACTGGCCACTGCAATCCGTCAATTGTTTTGTCATATATTTGCAGGCTTGCAGTTGGAACTGAGGTATTATGATTCTGGAGGGTTTGATAATAGGTGAATTATTAGCTGTTGGGGACAGATTTGTTTCTGAGCCTTTCTGTGGCAGTTTCTTATATAGGAAGGCAATCATTCTCATGGAATTTGCTCCCTCAGACTTAAAGAGATTTCAAATATACCTTGTAATATTTTTTTCTCAGTAAAATTTCATTAGTGGTTAATTATGACTGGTAGGGCTTTCTGGAAGTTGACCAAGTGTATTGAGAGTTCAACCACGTCAAGGTTAAATAGTCTCATGATGGGACAGCCTTCTCTCCTCTTGACTGGTGATTCTTTGTTTCTATGTTTACAAAGATTGTACACAGTTTCTTTTTAGAAAACAAAAAGACATATATAACTCACTTTTTTCTTAGGCTAGAAAAACTGTTCCTTTTGGTTTTTGACTATTTGCCTAGAATTGTCTGATTTTTGGGTTAGAAGTAACTTATTCCTAAGAGTATTTACACAGCATCTAACTTTTGAAAGTGTGTAAGAAGTTAAATATTTTTCATGGATGCAGTGTATAAGTCCAGATGAACCCAAAGCTGTGCTTGAGCCTGGTCATTTCTATCTGAAAGCTTCTCAATGGAGCTAGACCATATTAAAGGTAGACTGAATAGAATCAATTTCTCTTCCAAGGTGTGCATTATTTTTGAGAAATGGAATTAAGATAAAATACAAATAAATGTAATAAACTTAATATTTTTTCGGAAGTTTTAAGTTTCTGTTTTAGAAGGATACCTTTGTAGTCAGGTACTTTCACACATTGTCATCAACTTCAAAATTAATTTACAATATTATGATTGTTTATAAGGTTTTTATGAGGTTAAAAGAGTATGAAAATATAAGAAAGATTTAGAAAAGGATATATATATATATATATATATAATACACATATATATGTATAATTAGATGATTCAATATGTGACTATGCTGAACCCTTGTCTTTTCTGAGAATACAATACTGTCAGAATTTTTTGCCGTTTTTCCTCTAGTAGAGAAGGAATGTATCTGAAAACTGTCCCTTCAACTTCTTGACTGGAAGACAGGAAAGAGAAATGACAAAGATTTAAAATAGAGAAATGGTCCTTATGGCAGTGAACTTCCAGGTGGTTGATGCACCTATAGTAAACATCCCAGAACACCCGAGTTGATTCAAAACCTTGTTAAAAAATTTTTATGTTTTTTTCTGTGTTACAAAATTAAACATTTTAAAAAATGAACGGAATTTCTGTTTCAGCAGAATGACCTGCAATGAAAATCAAGACTTTAAGGGCATATTATCAGGAGTTCATAGTCAAATAAGGGATAGATGTAAGATTATTTCTAAGAGGTTATTTTGAGCACTTTGGCCAGCTCTGCACACTTCCTGTGCTGTTTTATAGAACCATTGGCCCAGGGTGACTCAGTCTTAGATTTTGTTTTAATTTAAAATGACTTTGGGGGACACAAAAGAACTGAAGTCATAGAGTCTATACTCAAGAAATTTGCATTCTATTTTAGGGAAAAAACTCACTCACCGGACTAGATAGAAGAAGAAGACCAGTGAGGGTTGTTATGCTTTGTGTCCAGATGCTCCCCACCATGTACTTTTAGATGGGCTTTTTCTGGAGGCAGCTAATCTAGTTTGTGACTGATTCATAGTGCAATGCTGGGATTAAAGGTGCTGGAATTAAGGGTGAGTGATTGCTGGGATCAGTTTGTCAGTTGAATTTGCACTGTCCTAAACCCTGCAGTCTAGATAAAATAAAAGCCGCAGAGTCTTGCCACTCACCTTCATTTGTTGGCTTTTGCCGTCTTCTGTTGCCAGGAACTGTTTCTTCTCTGGGATGTCCCCTCTGCCACGCCACTCTACCTCGGATCCAGACAATTATGGACTGAAATCTTTATAAACTGTGAGCTAAATAAACCTTTCTCCTTTTAATATTGGGTGTGAAGGTTTGTTTTTTTTTTTCTGTTTTTCATTTTTCTTTTTTGTCTTAGCATTGAGAAAAAAATACCTAATACAAGGGCTGAATTCTATGCAATAATTGAACTGAGGTAGATAACGCACAGGAATTCTGGAATATGTTGGGATGGGCCAGCCAACAGCTGTTGAGTAGTGAGAAGGGCATTCTCTCTCTTCTTTAGCTCAGCCAGTCATTTAACACATGTTGGTTTAGTGACTACTATATGGTAAGTGCCTTGTTGAGGAAGATGTTGCCCAAAACAAGGAACATTGCTGTTTTCCTAAAATTTAAGGTCTAGAGGCAGCAGGCATTAAACGTAAGTATATGTAATGACAAACTGCAGAAAGACTTAGGAAAGAAAAACAAATGCTGTGGCATAGACTGGGGTTGTGGAATATAGGCCTGAAGCAGAGACATTTAAAATGAGACTCAAAGAATATTCTTATTAAAATATACAGGTGCACTTTTAAAACATGATATGCTAAAATTAGATAAAATTTTCTACTTAGTTGTGATTTTATAGTCATAAGTCTGATAAATTATGTAGATATTTAGGTGATGCATATTTGCTTTTGGTACCCATATAGAACTCATGATCTCATTTGTGTTTGCCAGGCAGGAACCTACACCACTGAACTAAATCCCTGGCCAGCTGATGTGCATTTGATCCAGTACATATCAGTCAGGAGCATGGCAGAAAGCAGATGTCACCTGTGAAATAGAGAACTTGGTCAGGTGCAAGACACCCACAAGGAACAATGTTAAACTCTGAGACAGAAACAGCATAGCTGTCATAATCTCTACGCCCAAAGGAATGAAAGTGGAGAGCATAGTTCATTTGGAAGAAGAAAGAGAGGAGAAGGGCAGTGTTTTCTTCAGAGGATCAGAAATCTAGGCTGAGGAATGTAACAAGCTGAGGTGTCCTCCTATCACCCTTGCCCTTCTCTCCTGCTGAGACTCCTGTGGTACTGGGAATCGAACTCACGCTGCCTGCTTGCAAGGCAGGTGCTTATGCCGCTGAGCTAAATCCCCAGCCCCAACGACAGGGTTTGAAAGGTGCAGTGTGAAGCTAAGGGAGGCACAGAAAAAATACCCCATATAGATAATGAAAGCAAAGCTTATACTATGGTCCAGGCTCAGTGGAAGGGATAGCATGATATAAGCCTTGTGAAAAGATTTGTTCTATTTTTAATTCACTTACAATGTGATGCTATCTTTCTGAATAAACATATTGCTTCCAGGGTAATATTGCAGTAGGCCTTCTGAAGTTCTTCCTAGCTGGTGATTCAGATGTTTTTTCTAGTGACTGTTTTTGTCTGTCTATTACAATACCTGGTGTTATGGTTTGTGCCTAGAACTGTTGCCCTCTGCTATCCTGCCTTGGAGTCAGCCGATTATGGCTTGAAACCTCTGAAAACTGTGAGCTAAATAAACCTTTTCTCTTTTAACTTGGATGTTGAGTACTTTGTTTCAGCAGCAAGAAAAGTAACCAAGACATTTGCAATCATGCCTGTGACACTATGTGTCATGGGAGAGCAATGAATCAGAAATATAAGCAGCGCAGTGTCCATTACCATAGTGCTTATGTGCATTGTAAAAAGGCCATGTTTCCTTGTTCTTCTCATTTTTAGAGTCATCATGGAATTGCACAAAGATTATACACGGCTGGGATTGTAAAAATGGAGAAGGAGAAACTGAAATGTGTTGGTAATGTTAGCTGATGTTTAAGTAGTAGAATTCTTGTGTCAGAGGTAGGAATGACTGTATTTATTTACAAATAGCTCCAATTTTTCTTTTCACTTTGATTTCATGTTCTTCAGGAAAAAGACAGCTCTGAAAATTTATGAACCATAACTTGTTCTTCATTACTTGATCACCCAGTAAGCCATGTGCACCTAAGCCTAAGGGTCACTACAGGTCTACAACTCTTTGTAATTTTATAGGGAATTCATTGGCTGCAGGAGGTGTGATGAGGTGCTGAGAGGCCATTCATCCACCAGTGTGGCTGCTAAATAGTTTTACTATTGATAAAGACATACATGTGTATGAGTTCTTTAGGCATAAAATTTTCCCCAGATCTGAGGATCTCAGGCAATTCTTGCAGTGGTCTGGAGAGGCAGGCAGGGCAGACCTGGACAATTTCCATTTTGGATGAGAAATTGAGCCTCGGAGGCCAACTGGCCTGCCAGCATCCTATAGCTAAGAAAGTGGCAGAGGTGCTGGAGGTCAATTCCATTAAAAAAAATCACAACAGTTTTCAGTAGGAATTTTCAAAGTAGAAAATATCTAGGCCTGTTCTCAGAAAGTGTGAGAGTGTGAGAAATCAGGAACTTTTCTTTCATGGACTTTTATTCATAAATTTGTCTAACCACATGTGGTGGTGCACACTTGTAACCCCAACCCTGTGGGGTATTGAGGTAGGAAGATCCCACGTTTGAGCTCAGTCTTGGCAACTTAGTGATTTAATGAGATCCTGTGCCAAAATAAAAAATATACCAGGGCTGGGTATGTAGCTCATCGTGAATGCCCTGGGTTCAATCTTTAGTACCCTCTACATTGTTCAGTGTATAATTCCCTGTATTTGGAAAAATACGCCTTGTATGAATCACTGTTTAAATGTGTTTTCTCTCTTCAGAGTCTTGGAGTAGGACCTGAAGCCATGTGAGGAAACTGTCAGGCCTGTCCCTCTCTTTTCTGCTACAAGGACTTACTCTTAAAATTATGACTCAGGCAGCATTTTAAATACAGAAGTTACATGATCTTAGAGCTGTAAAAAGTGTCCTATGACCATTATGTTGAGCACAAACATTGGGAAAGGTGGAAGGGGGGAGCAAGGCGCTATTGCAGTCATTTAACTGGGTTAGAGTGATGGTGGTTTGGACAAAAATAGCAGAAGAGGAGGTGGTTAGAAGTATTACAAACTTGGACTAGGAAGGTGGCTCAGTAGTAGAGCACTTGCCTATTACATGTGAGGCCCTGATCACTAGCAACACACACACACACACACACACACACACACACACACACAAAGTATTAAGACTTGAATAGAATTTGAAAGGAGAGTCGATGGGATTTCCTGATAGTACAGTGTGGGTTGTAAAAGAGGACAGGGAGAGAGAAATCAAGGATTAGTACAAACATTTTCCCTGGCAATATTGGCAGGAGAGAGCTGACAGAAGTGAGGATAGGGAAGGCTTAGGTGAACACACTTGAAAGGAAGTCCAGGTTCAGGTTTGAAACTGTTGAGCTGCAGGTACCTGTTCTATCTGTCTGTCTATCTACCTATCTAATTATCTTTCTATCATCTATCTATCCATTCATCATGTTTGCAGAGTGTAATGATTGCATTCGTCACGGGAACTAGGAACATACACATAACATATCTTAATTCTTTTTATTCCCTCCCTCTCCTGCCATCTCTAAATCCCCTTTTGCTTCCCATTTGCAACAGACTTGTCTCCTTGTTTCCTATAGTCTACTTTCTACTTTGATCTTTAAATTACTTGTATTTTGATGCGGGTATGTTGACTGAGATTGCATTTTATCTCTATGGGAGTGTGGAGTGTGGTTATTTTGACAATATTAATTCTGCCTATCCAGGACCAAGAGATATCTTTTCATTTTCACACGTCCTTTTCAGTCTCCTTTTTCAGAGGAATAATGTTTGCTCTAGAGTTTTTTTAAATGCATTTTGTTGGTTAGGTTAATGTCCAAGTATTTAATTTTTCTTGAAACTGTTATGATAGTATTGATTTCTTGATTTGTTTCTTGATGAATTCATTTTTGGCATATAGAAGTGCTATTGATTTTTGCATGTTGATTTTATATCTTGCCAGATGGCTGAATTTGGTTATAAGTACTAGAAATCTTTCAGTAGAATATTTTAGGTCTTCTATATAAAGGGTTATGTCATCTGCAAGAAATGAAGGACTTCTTCCTTTCCTGCACATATCATTTTTATTTCTTTCTTTTGCCTGATTGCACTGGTTGATGATCTGAGTACTATATTGAATAGGAGTGATCTGTGTCTTGTTCCTGATTTTGTGGGAAAGCTTTCTCATTTAATAGGATATTGATAGACTGTTCATAAATGGCTTTTGTCAGATTGAAATAAAATCTTTCAATATCTATTTCCTTCAGCTTTTGTTCCACAAATGATTATTGTATTTTGCCAAAGGCTTTTTCTTCATCTATTGATAAGATCATATGATTTTTGTCCTTGCTACTCTTTATGTGATGAATTGTATTTATTGATTTGCATATGCTGAGCCATTCTTGTAGCCCTGGAATGAAGCTTGCTTGGAAATTATGTGTGTTGTTTTCAGTCATTTATTGCATTAGGTTAGCAGTATGTTTTTGAAGATTTCACATCATTAAGGAGATTGTTCTGGTCTTTTATTTTGGGGGAGTCTAATGTTTTTGACTTCTTTATATGTTCTAGATATTAGTTCTCTGTCTGAGGAATAGCTAGCAACTCTGTTGATCATTTACCATGTTGTGTAGGAGCTTTTTAATGTGATATGATCTCATTTAATTATTCTTGGTATTTCATTCTGAAAAGTTCTTGCCTATGCCTGTTTTCTTTAATCTTCTAGCAGTTTATTTCTGTTTAAATATTTAGATCTTCAATCTATTTGGATTTTAGCTTACTATATAGTAAGATATATGGGTTTAGATTCATCTTCTACATATGGGTAGCAGTTATATCAGTATAATTTTTAAAAGACACTGTTTCCCCAGCATAAGTTTTTGGCTCTCTTCTCAAAGATCAGGTAGGTGAATGTACTTGGAGTTGTTTCTGCAGCATGTATTCCACATGTTTGATTTTGTGCTGGTACCACGCTGACTTTATCACTGTAGATTTGTAGTATAATTTAGAGTCAGGATTGTGATGTTTGCTGTCTTACTCTGGAAGCTCAAGATTGCTTTTGCTGTTGTAAGTCTCTTCTGGCTCCATTTAGTTTTAGGGTTATTTTCTGCAGTTCTTTGAGGAATGCTATTTTTAAATTTTTTTTTATTTTTAAAGAGATTAGGACTAAGAGGACATAACAAAGCAGATTAGATCAGAACAATGCAAGCAACACAACATTTTACCACAAGACAACCCATAATTAACAGTAACTACCATAATGTCTCTTTCTTTGAAATAGTTGAGCATAACTTCATATATGATAGTATCAAACATAACCAAACAGTATAAAACCATTCAAGAGAATGAAAGAATTACAGGGCTTTCAGAACCAAATAACAGAGAACAAACAATGGCTACTATATTTTCTCATTTTCATAAAAAATTTGTTTATACTATCATACATAATAATATCCAATAAGATATAACAGGATAGAACCAAAGGAAAAAGAAGAACAAAAGCACAGTAGGACTTCAGAGTAAGATGACATTAAATCAGCTCTGGCTATTACAATGTCTTGTTTTCTTCAAAATAGCTGTTCATACTATCACTGATAATAAAAGCAAGCAAACCAGGGTAAAACCATTCCAACTAATGAATGCAAACATTATAAAGCTTCAAAGCAATGTAATGGGGAATCATGATTATCATAAACTCTAAGGTACTCTTACCATTTCTTACACTAGGGATGGTCTCAAGTTGTGTCCATTTACTTATAAATATCTTAATGTGATCATTTTTTATAGCTGAGTAGTATTTCATTGTATAAAAACACCTCAACTTTTTTATCCATTCCTCATTGATAGACATCTAGGTTGTTTCCAAGATCTGGCAATTACAAATTGTGCTGTTATAAACATGGGTGCACATATATCACTGTGGTATGATGCTTTCAGTTCTTCTGGGAATATGCCTAGAAGTGGAATAGCTGGAACAAATGGGTCTTCCAATCCCAGCTTTTTGAGAAGTCTCCAGACTGATCTCCTCAGTGGTTGCACCAGCCTACACTCCCACCAACAGTGCAGAAGTGTTCCTTTTTCTCCTCAGCCTCTCCAGCATTTGTTGTTGGTAGTTTTCTTGATCCTGGCCATTCTTTCTGGAGTGAGATGGAATCTCAGAGTTATTTTAACTTGCATTTCTCTAATGACCAATGATGAATATTTTTTCATATATTTCTTTGCCATTTGTATTTCTTCATCTGAGAAGTGTGTATTCATCTCAGATGCCCATTTTTGGATTGGGTCTTTGAATTTAATGGGTCTGATTTTTAAAAATTCTTTATATGTTTTAGACAGAAGTCCTTTGTCTGAGAAACAGTTCGCTAAGATATTTTCCCAGTTTGTGGGTTTTCTTTTCACTATCCTGGAGATTTCTTTTAACATGCAGAAACTTTTTAATAAGACGTGATCCCAGCTATTGATCCTGGGAAGTATCTCCCATGTGATTTGATTTCTGTTCATGAATTATCTATGTCTTCAAGATTTTTACCTACTTTGTCTTCCAACAGATTTAGTGTTTCTGTTTTAATATTCATATATTTGATCCATTTAGATTTTAGTTTAGTACTATTTTTATATTGATTGAAACTGTGTCAGATCTGTGTATCAGTTTTTGAAGTGTGGCCATATTCATTATATTGTTTCTGCCTGTCCAGGAAGAAGGGATGTCTCACCATTTTTAATCTCCTTTGTGCAGAGTACTGTAATTTTCATTGTAGATGTCTTTTTACATCTTCATTTAGGTTGATTCCTAGGTATTTAATTTTTCTTGTTGCTATTGTGAAAAATGTTTTAATAAGCATACAGGGACAGTATTGATTTTTATGTGTTGACTTTTATCCTGCAATTGAATCTGGTTATTAGTTCTAGGAGTCTTTTGGTGAAATTTTTGGGTCTTCTGTGTAGAGGATAATGTCATCAGCCAAACAACAATTTGATTTTTTTTGTATATATCCCTTTTATTTATTTTATTGTCTGATTGCTCTGGATAATATTCTGAGAACTGTATTGAACATAAGTGATGACAGTGGACATCCTTTTCTTGCTTCTGACTTTAGTTTTCAGCTTATTGCCATTTAATATGATGCTTGCTGTTGGTTTGTCATAATGGCTTTTATCAGATTAATATAAGATCTTTCTGAAAGAATCTTGCCCTGGGCCTGACACTGTAGCTGGTAAAAAGCCTTGGAGGCGGAATCAAGGGGCTCCATCTTCCCCGCCCCTAGGAATTTACCTGTGGCACGAAATAAATACCAATGGGCTACCTGTGCATCAGTAATGACTCTTAGGCTCCACCCCAAACCTAGGCTACATGTATGCCCCCACTCCACGTGTCTGATGGAGAGATTGCCAGACCCTGGAGAGAATGCTAGACCCTGGTGGGTCGGGGGTCTCTCCCCGCATTCTTAAAATAAAGGTCATTTATATTTCATACTTCTTATCTTTTCAGCCACACCACAATTCTATCATAAGGTTCCCTGACCAGGAATCCAATTCTATCACTTTCTATCTCTGTTTTCGTTAGAGTTTTATCATGGGTGAATGTTGTATTTTGTTAAAGGCTTTTTCTACATCAACTGCGTTGATCATGTGATTTTTATCCTTGCTTGTGTTTGCATGCTGTGTTACATTTGTTGATTTGCATGTGTTGAAGGATCCTGGCATTCTACTTGGTCATGATGTATGACTTTTGGTGATTTGTGGCAGCCTGTTTCTCAGTATCTTATTGAGACTCTTTTGCATTCATATTCATTAAGGAGACTGGCTTACAGTTCTTTTTTGATTGAGTCCTTTTCTGGTTTTGGAGTCAAGGTAATGCTAACTTCAAGGAGTGATTTTGAGAATACTTCTTTCCTTTTAATTTTTTAAAAGAGTTTGAGGAATACTGGCATTACATATTCCCTAAACTTTTTGTAGAATTCATCAGTGTACCCATCAGGACCTCGATTTCTTTTAGTTAATAGTTTTTTAAAATTACTTCTTAATTTTTATTGCCTGACATCGGATTATTGACAGTTTTTATGTCTTTTTATTGCTGCTTTGGTAGTTCTTATGGATCTAGGAAAATATACATTCTTTCTGAATTTATCTATTTTATTAGAGTGGGGTTCACAAAGTAGTAATAATGTTGGATTTCAAGAGAGTCCTTTGTGATTTCACTGTTCTCATTTCTTTTTTTTAATTATTTAAAGAGAGAAAAAAAGCAAAACAAAGCAGTAAAAGGATACAAGTAATACAGAATTTCAAGAAAAAAAATACAGTAAGAAATCACTAGTTAATAGATTACAAATTGTCATCCCAGAAACAGTTGTCCAAATTACAAAATTAAAGCATACAAAGTGGGCATTCATACAGTGAGACTGCAGAGAGTTCTGTTCAATGATCCAACAAAAACTCGGTGATATGGTTTTCTATCCTACACACTTAAACATACATGCAGTTATATCCTTTAGATCACCTTCCTTTCCTCTGTTTTTTACAATAACAATTACACTTTTTGGGTTTTATTACTCCCATAGTTCTTACAACTTTTTTAAGAGAAAAAAAAAAAAACAAATGCGACAAAGCAAAGTAGAGTCAGTTAGAACAGAAGGATGGATATAGTACATGATGCAAAAACAGAATACCAGGTGATCAACAATGGTTACCATTATGCCTCTTGCTATCTTAAAAAGAGTTGCCTGTATCATCAGGTATAGTAGAATTGAACAAAACAGTACAGAACAAGACCAATAAAACCTACATTGGAGACCGTACAGGACTTCAAAAGAAGATAATAGTCAAACCATAATGGGCATCATAGTAAATCTTTCTGCCTTCAAAGTGGTTGACTATACCCTCAAACTTGATATTATCAAACAAAACAATATAGCAAAATCAGTCAGAACAAGATGGGGAGAGCATTACAGGGGTTCAAATCAGGTTAATAGGAAAACAAAAAAATTACTATAATATATTCTGCTATTTTTTAATTTAGTTTTCCCTTGATTAAAAAAATAAGAAAAAATAAATTATTTTTTTAAAAAAGGGGGTAATTGAGGTAAAAAAGGACATAGCAACAGAACAACTCAGGTCAGAACCAAACAATTTAAGCATCATTGTGTTTTACCACCAGATAACCTGACATAATAGTAGTCACCATAGTGTCTCTTTCCTTGAAATATTTGAATATAACTTCACATACTATAGCATGAAACATATCAAGACATTGTGAAGCCATTCAAGAGAATGAAAGTATTACAGGGTATTTAGAACCACCTAACAGAAAATAAACAAACGGTTTCTATATTATCTCTTTGCCTATAAAAATTTTTGTTTATACTATTGTATATAGTAAAATATAATAAGATACAACATGTTAAAACCAATGGAAACAGACGATACTGTTCTCATTTCTAATTGCACTGATTTGAGTCTTTTCTGGTAAAGATTTGTTTTTTGCATTTTTCAAAGAACTAGATTTTCAATATATCAATTCTTTGCATTTTTAAGTTTCAATTTCATTAATTTCTGATGTGATCTTTATAAGTTCTTGTACTAAATTTGAATTTGGATCGGCCTTTTTTTTTTAGGATCTTGAGGTGTATTATATGGTTATTTATATGAGCTCCCTCTGTTTTTCTAATGTGGGTATTCACAGCATGAACTTCCCTCTTAGGATTGCTTTCATTGTGTCTTATAGATTCTTGATATGTTGTACTGGCATTGTCAGTTGATTCTAGAAATACTAATTTCTTCCTTCACCCACTGATACCATTCCAAGAAGCATTGTTTACCTTTTATGTGTTAGCATAATTTTTGTGCTTTCTTTTGTCTTTGATTTTTATTTTCAGTGCAGCATGATCTGGTAATATGCATGGGATAATTTTAAGATTTTTGCATTCACTTAGGTATCCTTTGTGGGTTAGCATGTAGTCTATTTTGAAGAAAGTGCTCTACTGCTGAGAAGAATGTGCATTCTGTTGTTGGGTGGGACATTCTATAGATAACTGTTAATTCCATTTTTTAAGAGATTTTGATTCTATTCTGATATTTCTTTCTTGTTTTTTTTAGTTGATATATTTGAGACAAGGTCCCTTACTTACTTGGCCCCCTCATTATCATTGTGTTTATCTGATTTTCTATGCCCAGTACGGTTTGTTTTATAAAGTTGATTTTGCTGACGTTTGGTGCATATGTGTTTATAATTTTTATATTTTCCTGTTGAGTTGTTCATTTAATCAATATGAGCTACCTACTCTGCCTCATTTGATTGTTTTTGAATTGAAATTCACTTTGTCTGAAATTAAGATCTCTACTCTTTGTTTCAAGTTCCTGTTCCAACTTTTTGATTCCCATTTGCTGTTCTTTGACTTTTCCTTAAGTCTATTTAGTTTTAAGTTAGTCATCTTTGTGCCATCTAGTAGCTGTTGAATAAATTTTCCTTGGTGTTTTGTGGTTTTTAAGGTATCTCTGGGTGTATGGTCTTGTGCATCAGATTTATTCTGTAGGTATCACACTCTTTCCCCACAAGGGTTATTTCTGCTGCTTGTATGTGGAAGCAGAGGCACAGAGAAGGGTCACAAGCCATTTGTGGAAGTCCCACAGCCTGGATGGGGTAGAAGCAGCTTTGTACACTAGAGCTGGCTCAAAAGTGCACATTCTTACCTCCATGTCCTCCTAATTTCCAGCCTTTTTGAACTGTCCTTTTTTCCCTGAAAAAATGAGGGGATTAGGCTTAAAAAAAAACCCCAAATATTGCTTTTCACTTAAAGATGCTCTAATATGCTTCTAGGTTTATGGTAGAAATATCTGGGTGTGTAAAGTTAAACTCCTCTGGCAAAGGATAATATGGAACAATATTATATGCAACTTAAAATACTATTTTGATGAACAGCCATAGTAGGTAATTGTAACCCAATTCTGTGTTCAATGTGGAAAATTTAACAGTTTAAAAAGGAACAGACAGATGGAATTTTGTTAATGCGTCCAAGAAGGAAATATGATTTCACATGCATATTATATGCAAGTTTATGAATGCAGTCATAGTGTCTGGAACGTAGCTAGGAAACTATGATGAAAATCAGTGAAGTAAAATATCAAAATAAAACATTGCATGACAACTCTTAATGGGGAGCAATGCTGGCGCCTTTAATAAAACCACTTGGGAATATTAACGTGATACATAAGTGGCTGAAGGGTTCCGAATTTCCCTGGTGATATTCATATATCGCAAAGTGCATGTTAGCTGGCCATAATTCAAAAAGCAGCATGCTTGGCATACTACTAGTGAAATGCTGGAATTGAGATCCCCAGTGGTAAATTGTGACATCTGGCTTTGTGTCAGAAATAAGGAGACTCTTGTGTATGTATTCTAAGAACTTGTTTGGAGCAAAGATTTAGGTTTATAATCTCAAGGATGGGATGTGTGGTTAAGGCAACCAACTTACCTTTGTTTATGTGAAAGGGTGAGATGATTACCAAAATGTTCCCATCAAGACCACTTCAGTGCCTTCCTGGTAGCAGAGCACTTAGTTCACATTTAAATATACTCTGGGCAATTGGAAATAGCATTTTTCATGAAAGGTTTTAAAAAAATGCGTCATCTTGAATTAATAAGCTTCTAAAAATGGCTTCTAACGAATATAAGTTCTAATTATGGGATTAATAGTCCAAATAACTTCAATTTTATGTCAAACTAATTTGGTAGTTGGCAAGTGTTAAAAACCTTTATCTTGAAAACTTTATTTAATCTTTGTTGAAATTCTAGTTGATTAGCTTCCTTCTCTTTCTTCCATCAAAAATTTTCAAAAGAATAGTATTAATTTTACTTATTAAAAATATATATGTTAGATGAGTATGACTTAAAAGTTTTCTTGTTTTTTAGAATTTATTTGCCTGCAGGAATTGTATGTATATTTGCCCTTTGCAAAATGTGAGTGTGTATGTTTTAAACTGTGCATTGAAATTGTTTTCTTAAAGATAAAGAGTTATTACTAATAATAGCAACATGGTTCTTGATATTAGCATCAAAATGATTTCTTTCTGAGTTGGGCACAGTGGGCATGCTTTAATCCCAGCGCTGGAGGCTAGAGCAGGAGGGTGGCAAATGCAAGCTCAGTCTGGGAAAATAACAATTTATTGAGTCCCTAGCTCAAAATTAAAAAACTTTAAAAATACAGAAAAGGTTGGAGACATAGCTCAGTGGGAAGGCCCTAGATTTAATTCCCAGTGCTCAAAAAAAAAAAAAAAAAAACAAGTATTCATAAATGTTTTCTTTTTGATTTAAACCTAAGGCCATATATATACATATATTCATAATGCTCTGTTAAGATTATACATATATATGTTTTCATGTACCAGTTATAAAATCTATTTAATAAAGAAAAATAAAGAAGAATTAAATTTTACTTTTAAAAAACAGAGTAATTTCTTAATGGTACCTTTAAGTCTATTCTATAATTTGCTTCTAGTGCTAGTTTTGTTTTACTAACATAGAGAAAATGAAGTAGTAAAGACTAGAGTTGGAGTTCTGGATAAATGAATGATGAATATTAAGTAGTGCAGAAAAAATTGGCTTAATAAAATAAATAGAAAAGCACCAAGATTGTTTCTTTTTTTGCAGAATTACAAAGTGTAATGAAGTCTTTAAATATGCACAAAATAAAAGCAACATCATTTGATTCCTAATAAATTAGAATAGCAAGAAACAAATATGAATGCACATGAGCTAGTAAGTGATCAAAAACTACTATGGACAGGGCAGCGGCTGTGGAGAAGATAAGGGGTTGGCTTTCTGACGAGGGAGACTTTGTTTGCTGTGTATTTGGAGAACAGTGACCTGTGCCTCTTGTGAAATATTCTCCTGCTATTTCTCTGCCTATAAATAACTTGCTTCGGGTCTGATGGCTTCTAATCAGTGAATTATGATTGCTGACTGGGCCTCAGTTATCAACAGCAGCATTTATGGGGCATTTAATCCTCATAACAACCCAGTGAAGTCAGGATCATAATAACTTTCATGAGCAAACCAACACTAAGAGAGTTTAGATCACTTGCAAAAAACCGTCAAAGAAGACAAATATAACATTTCATTTGCTTATGTGAGGTTCTGGTCATTCTGCTGGTCTAGAGGACTAAACGAAAACAGTTGGTGGTCTCAGTTCTTAGAAGACAGAAAAATTCCTTGGCAATGTGGATGCCAAGAGTGAGCACAGGAGCAAGAACACGGTGTGCTGTGTGAGACAGAGCACGTTCGGTGTTTGAGGAGGCCGCAGGTAACAAATAACAGAGCGGATGAAAGAGCTTTCTTTCTTGTGTATATTTTGATAGTGCAAATAGACATTGTTCAGCTTTACTCTTTTAGCTCTAAAAGGCTGTAGTTCTTTGTAGCCACATTATAGCTCACTGTTACACCGCATGTGAAACCACCCTTCTCTTGTGCATATGCAGCGTCAGAATAGACCTTGCATTCATAGTCGGGTCTGTGTCTAGGAGCATACTTATCTATTGTGCCAAAGAAAATACATACTAGAGAAAAACACTGAATGATTTTCTGGATACATGGAATCCCATTGCCTGTTGTTTATAAGATCAAGTTACTATTTATAAACTCCCAATTTTTATGTATTTTAGCCACTGAAAAAATGTTTTGTCATTTTAAAATATTTTAACATTGAGAAGTTTGGTGTTTAGTGTATTTTCCAGTCATAGAATGGTCACATGAATCCTCAACATCAGCAGAGCTGTCTGTTGATCTATCTAGACTTAAGAATAACATGTATAACATGTTGGTCAGTCACTGAAGCTTCGAGCAGTGGAATAGAGCACCAGATTGGTGTCTTCCCAGCTTCCCTCTGCTAGGAACTTCCCTTCCCTCTAAATTCACATGGCTACCATAAATGCCGCCATCTTTGTAAGTACAAGAGTCACTCTGTTCAGGGTGGAAAGAAGATCCAAACTGGATTGATTTTTTATCCCACGATTTGGCTTCACTGAGTAGGCTAGACTACTCAAAATCTGTGCTGTTTCTATCTCACCATTCAATTCTGGCAATAACTACTTGGATTTAACGTCAACTCCACAGATTGAAAAGCTCAGTCCACTGACAGAGAGTCAGGACAGCTCTCATTTCATACACAGTGGCAAATAGGATAGACTAACTACACTTCTGGTTGATTATGTAGCTGTGGACCCTACTATTCTTTCAAGTTCCATAATTTACTAAAACAACTCATAGAATTTAGGAAAACATAACAGTATATGTATATTAAATTTTATTTTACCTGGGCAAATTCTGGGAAGGTTCTAGATTGGAGTTTCCAATCTCCCACCAAAAAATCAGGATATGTCACTTTTCTAGTACATCAATGTCCCTCTCCATTAAGGAGGAAAGTTTTCTGAGCCTTAGTGCTCAAAGTTATTACTTGAATGTTATTACATTATTGCAGTTTGCTAAATGGCCATGTGACTACGCTCAATCACCATTTCTCTTTCCCTCTCTGGAGTTTAGTTGCTGGAAACTCCAAATTCTTACTTAATGTGTTTGGTCCTTCTACTGAGCAGCTGCCACACTGAAGACAACTAGGGACCTCTTGGGAGCCAGTTTATTGGCAAAACAAGGACACTCTTATCATCAAGAAAACCCAAAAGTTTTTAAAGCTTTGTACTAAAAACTGGGAACTAAGAATGGGCAAATTCTTCATTATGCAGGAGACCGTCTTTAGAAATTCTAGTATTGGATTTGAACAAGAGAATTCAGTTTCTTCTGATTCTTGCATCATGGGATATAAGCCTTAGGTCAGTCAGCTGCATTTTCCCACCAGAGAAACAGGAGTCAATGTACAGGGAGAAAAAAGAAAAGAAAAGAAAAGAAAAAAAAAAAAAAAAAAAAAAGGAAAAACCTAGCCAGGTGCAATGAGAAGAGATAAATAGGAAAGAGAATAAAGTCTCCGACATTAGTGTCTTTTTTCTGTTTTCTTTCCCCTTATTCATAGTGCATTTGCCAGTTCATATTATTATTAATCAATATTCTTTTCCTCTTCTGATTTCATCCAATTTCAGGGGAGTTTTACAAATCCCTACTCGAACACTCCCCAGTACAGTGAGCAGGTAACATTTGTCTGGGAATAAAAGCATTTTGTATAGTTGAGTAACATTAAGCTCCAGGCTAGAGATACACTAGTTTATTCCATACAAGTCCATTTGCTGCTTTGTGCAAATGCTGATCTTCTTGACACTTCAGAGTGAGTTGATTTCAGGGTGGGAGGAATGTTTAACTTGGGAATCCAAAGTTTGGGAAAATATTTTCCTTAGACATTTTCTCATTGCTGGGACAAAATATCTAATACCCACAATTTCTACGAGGATAAGTTTATTTTTGCTCAGTTTCAGAAGTTTCAGTCCATGGTTGGCAGACTCAAACATGGCATGGTGGAAGGGCCTGCTGGGCAGGAAAGTTGTTTATATAATAAAAGACCAGGAAGCAGAGAGAGGAGGGAGGATCTGGGAGGGAAATACATTCTTTCAGGTTTTGCCTCAGTGAGCCATATCCAGCCAGGCTCTATCTCCTAATAGCAAGTCAGCTATAGCACCCCATAATCCAGACATTTTCTAAACATGTGAGGTTTTGGGGGACACTTCAGATCTAAACCATAACAATATTGAAGCTCTCAGGAATAAGAGCTTCAATAGATATCATATGATATCATATGGACTGACAGATCCATATGATAGATAGGTATCATATGACTTGACTCTGCAATTTAAACATTCTCTTAAAGTATCCGTGAGTGTATGTTAGGTGTTAAATGTATTTGCCACATCTCATGGCGTCCATGTATGCTGGTCTCTTTCCTGACCTGCCTTGTTTACTCCTTACTTTTTAGGCTTCCTGAATGCTGTCTGAATGGCTCCGTTTCATTATTATTGTTTGCCTCTTTATTGTGCTTTATTTTACTCCAAACAACTGAGTACCTGACGTTTTGAACTTCTATTTGCTTTGTTTTGTCCATCTGCTTCTTTAGAATGTAAAATACATTTGAAAGAAGGACATGGTCTATTTTATATGTTTTTACATCTCAGCCTCCAGAAGAGGCATATTGTAAGCATTAACAAAAATTTCTTGAATACAAGAAGAAATGAAGAAATTCTGCAGCTTAGCACCTTTTGGACATATTTTCTATATTTGGAGAGAACTTGTATTTTCTTTGTGATTTTTGTCCTTTGCAGAAAATAAAGCAGAAACTTGATTTCTAATCTTTTTTTTTTTTTTTTTTTTTTGCAGTCAAGGCACTGATTAGATTAACCTACATATACTCTGATTCAGAGAACAGCAACCTCTTGCATCTATGAAGAGGGTTGTGTGTTGTTGCAAGCCCGTGAAGCTGGAAATTGAACACAAGTGCAGGCCTGTGGTATGGCCAGGGATGGCTGACCTGAGAACAAAGAGACACCTCAAAGGGCAAGATAAGGGCACAGCTGATTACACCTAGCTCCAACCCCAATTAACAAGATAGAGACTATAGCTGCAGATATTTCACTCCTGTAGTGAAAGTCAGCCTGGAGACTTTCTCCTAAAATAGTTCTCCTAAATTAACACAAGATAGTTCTCCTAAATTAACACAAGATAGTTCTCCTAAATTAACACAAGATAATTCTCCTAAATCAATATAAGATAGTTCTTCTAAATTAACATAGTCTGTAATTTGGAAAAGTCCTTGAACCACTCCCAAGGTCCTGCTCTGTTTCCTGTGTTTTCCACTCTAATCCTCTCCTTGTTTGAAAACTAAATAAATATGGGCCACCCGGAGACATTCATTGTCTCAGGCCTGGGAGTCTTGAACTCTGATAGAAGGCTTTGATCCTCCTGGAGCCCTAAAATTTGTACCACTTGTCTCACTTATTTATGCCTTTATCATAGACCTGTTTGGGAGACTAGGGATCTTGCAGGTTCCCAATAACATGTGTGTGTGTGTGTGTGTGTGTGTGTGTGTGTGTGTGCACGCACAAGCATGTAGGAGTAATGGTGGTGGGTATTATCTAGTATTAGTAGTGTGAGCCATGGTGTTTGTACCTAGTGTTGTTGGCAGTGGGTTTTGCTTCTAAAATAGAGAAGTTTAACAAACTCAATAAAAAGTTTCAATAGTATATTTGAATACTTAGAACATAATTAAAAATGGATACAATCCAATATAACTGTTACTTAGGATTAAACCAATCAATGATTTCTCCCAAGTACATGATAATATGAATGCCACTCATTATACTTTTAGAATTTAAATACATTGAAATATCACATCAAATTTAACAATCAGTTAACATTATATTCCCATCAGAATAGTCAATACCCAGATATTGATAATATAAGGTTGCGAGGATGTGGAACAGCAGGAACTCTCATTCCTTGTTGGCGAATGCAAAATACAGATACTTTGGAAGACTTGGGTTTCTTTTGTACTTTATTTTTTGCTTGCTTTCTCTCCTCCTCCTCCTCCTCCTCCTCCTCCTCCTCCTCCTCCTCCTCCTCCTCCTCCTCCTCCTCCTTCTTCTTCCTTCTTCACAAAACTAGACATACTTTAACCATACAATTCAGCAAATGTGCTCTTTGGTGGTTTATTCAAATGACCTTAAAATGTCTGACCACTTAGAAATCTGAACTTAGAAGTTCATGACAGTTTTATTTGTGATTGCTGGAGCTTAAAGTAACAAAGATATCCTCCAGTAGGTGAATGAGTAAATAACTGTGGCACATCCAGACAATTATATATTATTCTGTGCTGAACAGAAATAAGCTATAAAAAGAAATAAGCTATAATTCTTATTATTAAGTGAAAGAAGCCAATCTGAAAAGGCCACATGCTGTGTGATTCCAAGTGTATATCATTCTGGAAAAAGCAAAGGTATCCATGCCACAAGGTGTTAGAGGGCAATAGGGATGAATAAGTGGGACACAGATAACTTTTAGTGCAACAAAACTACTCTGTGTGACACTATAAGGGTGAATACATATCATTATAAATTTGTTCAAACTCATAGAAAAAACAACATCAAAGTGAATACTAATATGTAAACTCCTGGCTTTGGGTGATTATGTTGTGTTATGGAAGATTCATTCGTTGCAACAAGTCTGTCAAATAGAGGAGGTCATGCATGTTTCAGGGAAAGAAACATTTAGGAAATTTCTATTGACCCCTCATTTTGTTCTGAATCTATGTCAAAAGAAATAAATTATTTACAACAACAATAATAAACAATAATAATCACCACAAAAACCGCAAGTCAAAGCAATATTAACACAGCTTTGTTTTTCGTTTTTCAATTTTTTACTAGTGCATATTTGCGGTAGATAACAATATGTTTCCTCATGGAGAATTGGTACAAAGCTCATATCAAATCAGTGAAACAAACATATGTTTTTCTATCTTTTCTCAGTGAGTGTTGTACTCGTGTATTTTCTATAGCAACACAGACTTAGTAAAAGAAACTCTACAATTTGCCAATCATTCTATCAGAATTAGAGGATCCTTTTGGCTTGTCCTAGAGTTTCTGGACCTAAAAGAACAAACTTTTGCATAGAAAGTGTAGTTAACTTTAAAATTATCTCAATCACAATTCAAGACTTTTTTTCCTTGCCGTGATTACCTATCTCAAGGAAATTGCTGTGGAGAAAGCAAAAGTCATAACAGCACATTATTGGCACTATTTTATCTTTACAAATAATAAATTTCATCTGTGATTTGGAATTCTCATTCTTTTATGACTCAGCTTTCAAAAGATTATAATTTTCCAGTAATCTGCTGTCCATGCTGGTATCTCAAAGCAACTCTTTTCTTTTACAGTGATTTTCTTCTATTCTTTAAATAAGCATTTACATTTCACTACTTATAAATGAGCAGGAGAATTTATCCTGAAGAGACCTTCTATTTTTCTTAGTCCTCCAAAAGAAATGAGTCCAGCAGAGAATTGAGGACAATTTCATGACTGATGCGCCATCACCTTTTCTTGTTAGTGATGATAAAATCATATAATTAACAGATACAAGCTCAATGTACAGCATTAAAGTGGCTTTTGGTGGTCATAGTTCAGGAAATCTCCCGCAGTGAGGCTGTCTCCTTCTGTCCTGTTCATGTGCACTGCTGCCGCCTCTGTGGCATCACCATGCGAGAGGCACTGGACACACAGAATCCTCAGTGAATGGCAGCTTTCCAGCTGTATTGAGAATTTAAGAACAGAGTTTTTAAGTCTGTTAGGGAAAATTGATAGGGTAAAGTTCTTCCACGGAGCTTTCCTGATTCGTAATGTCAAAAGACTACTATTTCTCAAATTAATCACTTTTTATATAAAGCAAAATAGCGAGCTGGGCATGGTGGTGCACACCTGTAATCTCAGCACTCAGTTGGTTAAAGCAGGAGGATCACTGTGACTTTGAGGCCAGCCTAGGCTATAAAGTGCGTTCAAGGCCCAACTGAACTATGTGTTCTGCCTTCACAAACAAACAACAAAAAAAAAAACCTAGATAGCCCGGAACCACTGTATTAAAACAGCAGTTATGAAGGTTATATAATTAACAAGTATGAAGTGCTACTCTGGGCCCTAATTGAGTGTTTTTTCCTTGATTAATTTAACTATAAATGGCTACTATATAATTTTTCATGTTATAAATCAATAAATATAAAAATAAACACATGAACCCAGTGTTTCAATTTTATCATCAATTCCTTATTTTTCCTACCCAAATTGTCACACAATGAAATTCAACCTTCATCTTTGTTCAAATAAATTTAATCTTAATCTATATAAGGAACTGGTTTTATGTGTGAATGTTAAATGTGTTGTTACAATATAACTAGCTTTTATCTTGGCTAAAAGTTTTTCAAATCTAAACAAGTTATTTATGTCTTTGCATTCACCTGTGCAATTGTTATATAAATGGTTGACTCTGACAAGGCCAGAGAAGCCCCTGACCTGAGCCCACTTTTTGAGAGGATGTTGTATTTCACAATATCCTTTAGTTCTAAGAGGATGGTTTCCCATAGTTCTTGCCCTGTGTCCATGAACAAAAGGTCCCAACATGCTAATCCCGTGAAAGTCTGTAGATTGTGTCATATTCAGTGTCCAAGACAGGCACTAATTTGAGCTGAGGGAGAAAAAGAGTTGAGAGAAAAGATAAGGTAACTTACAAAATTCTTTCTCTCTACTAGCATAAATGTAATAGTTTCTTGAATAATTGAGTACTGTTTTCCAGTAGTACTGTTTTGTTCCAGCTTTTGCCATGGTTATGAACTGAATTGTACGTTCTTCCCCAATCCATATGGTGAGGCCATAACTATCATGATGACTCTTTGGCCATAAGGCTTATATGGAAATCAGTGTTAAGTGAAGTCATAGACCAAATCTCACAGGATTAGTGTCTTGATTAAAAGAAACAGACAACAATGGCACATGCTCACTCATTACTCCTTCCTCTCTCCATCCTTCTCAGAGAAAAAAAAAATCATTTGAAGACAGATTGAGAAGGTATCTGTCTACAACATTAGAAGGTAAGTCTTTCCAGATATCAGATCTGGTGAATCTTAATCTAAAACTTCCAATCTTCTGAACAGTGAGACAGGCATTTCTGTTGTTTAAGCTACATAGTAGCCTGAGCTGAATGATATACTTGTGTTCTTATTTCTGGATATATTGACTACCATAAATTAGTGAGATATGCCTAAAGTTGTATTTGACATGCAAATAGGATTTTGCATTGTTAAATTATTCACATTACTTTAACATTTGTATATATGTGTGTCTAGTTGAGACATGTAAAATATGACAATGATTATGTTGGTAGATAGATGGAAATACAACACTTTGATTGTGAAAGGTTTTATTTTATTAAAATGTCTAATGAGATAGTCATATTTTCAAAAATTAAAATTTCAGTGTGTTTCCACACTTTTAAATTTCAATATTGATTACCATTTTATTTGGTCTTTTAATGTTAAATAGTTCTTGATAATTTATAGAAAAAATAACACACATGAAGAGTGATTTGAAATTGCAAATTGAATATCCTTTATCTGAAATTCTTGGGATCATAACTGTTTTGGATTTTGGAATATTTACACATGCATAATGAGCTATTGTGAGAGCAAGACCTAACTCTAAACAGAAAATTCATTGTTTCATATACATCTTATGTATAATCTGAAGACAATCTTGCACAATACTTTTGGAGTGCCTATGATGACTGCAATTTGCTTCAGAAGATCAGGTATGCAGTGCCCTGTGTCTTGCATCATATTGGTGCTCAGATATGTTCATATTTTGGAAAATTTTGCATTTAAAATTTCTAGATTGGGATGTCCAACTTTTATTTAAATTTGTGAGAAAAATTTAGCCTAAAAACCAACGTTTTAATTTTTAATTCTTTATCTCAGAGGTCAGCAAACTGTCACCTGTGGGGTGAAATCTGACCTGTCATTTGTCCTTGTATATAATCTCTTTTTTTAATTTTAAAGAGAATAAAAAGAAAAAGACAGAACAGCAACAAAAAAATATAAGAAGTACTTGGAAATCAATCTAACAAAGGACATAAAGGATTTCTATATTGAAAATTATACTTTTAAAAAGAAAATCAAAGAGGATATCAGAAATTGGAAAGATATCCCTTACTTATGAATAGGAAAAACCATCACATTGTATTTAACTCTGGGGGACCATCCTTTTCCCCATCCCAGTTATTCTTTCCTTTTGAGCAGTTTCTTCTCTTTTCACAACATCTAAAGTACATTTTAGATTTTATTTACTCCTGGTTTCTTACACTAGGGAGACAATATGATGTTTACACATGTGATTCTGGTTTATTTTACTTATAAGCATGGTCTCTAGTTGCTTTCATTATCTATAAAAGTCTCAAGTTTGTCTTTCTTTATAGCTGAGTAGTACTACATTTTATATCACATCTTTTATTTTTTATCCATTCCTTGGTTGAAGGGTATTTGGGTTATTTCTTAAGATTTAGTTATTACAAATTGTGCTGTTATAAATATGGATTATATATGTTGCTGTGGCATGATGTTTTTAACTTTTCTGGGAAAATACCCAGAAGAGGAATAGCTGGATCGAATGGGACCTCCATTCGTAATTTTTTGAGGAGTCTTCATACTAATTTGCACAGTGATTGCACCCATCTGCACTCCCACCAATGCTGGAGAAGGATTCCTTTTTCTCCACAGTCTCTACAGCATTTGAGATTGGTTGATTTTTTGATGGTAGCCATTCTTTCTGGTGTGAGATGGAATCTCAGTTTATTTTAATTTAATTTAATTTTTCTTATTTTAATTTGCATTTCCTGAATGATTAATCATGCAGAACATCTTTTTATATATGTGCTGGCCATTTGTATTTCTTCATCTGAGAAGTGTGTATTCACCTCAGCTGTCACTTTTGGATTGGGTCTTTGAATTTTGGGGGCCTGATTTACATATACTCTTATTAGGAAACCTGTCTGTCCATATTTTTCTAAATGATCTATTTCTGTTCTCATGTCAAACTATGAGAATTGAGCACTTACCACGGATATTGTATGATCTGCAAAGTTGAAATAAATCACTTTCTTTCTTTCTTTCTTTCTTTTTTTTTGTCTTTTTCATTTTTATCAGTACCAGGGATTGAACTCATGACCGCCTGCTTGCAAGGCAGGTGCTTATGCCACTGAGCTAAATCCCCAGCCCCTAAATCACTTTCTTTAAAGCACAAAAATTGCTGAACTTTTGCTTTAGTTCATCAAGAATGTGTTCAAATTTAAATCATGACAATAATATAAAATACAGTAGAGTTTTAAAAAGAATAAAAACTGAAAAGAAAAAAATGTTTAATCTGAAATAACTGAAAGCTAAGAAAATGAGCAGACTTTTGTAGACCACAATCCAAATAAAACTTGCAAGTAGTATTTTACAAATTCTTAAAGTTTTAATAAAAATGGGCAACAAAATTGTTCTCATCAAATTCACAAATGAAACTTATCAGATAGTCTGCAATGTCAAATTTTTCATTAAGTGAAACTGTAACCACTGATTACAATGAGCATGAGAAAGGAAATTATTTATGTCAAATTTACAATTTGAAGACAGCAAATAAAACTTCAATCTGCCTGTTATAATTTGAGGAAAACTGTATTCGTAAAATCTGAAAATTGAATGGAAAGTCAAAACCTCTGTCTATTGGATGAAGATTCTGGAACATGGCTGTTGTATCTTGCCACAGTCAGATTGTTTCTAGCAAAGCGCAGTCTGATTCCAATCAGTCATTTCAAATTTCTATTGCAGAAAACACTGCCAAAATTTTTACTTCATTTTAAACCCAAATTCTTTCAAATTGTGAAAGAAGCTGTTTCATTTTAAATTCAAAGACAAAGTATCTTGTTACTATATATGTTTGTACTTGGAATGGAAATCAAGACCTAGACTTGCAGACAGGTGCTGTGCCCCTGAACTATATGGCCAACTCTGTTATATATTTTTCAACCAGTGTTTCTGACTGATTCTGGCAAATGAAGGCATTAGTAGTGTGAAACACACTCTTGATTAAAAGAATATGGAGAGTCATGTGCACAAGAAATTAGTTAATACTAGGATTGAAAAAGACTGAACAAGTGATAATCAATATCTTTTAACAAAGCAGTAAGTATAAAACAGGATACAAAATACTGTTACAGTGTTCATAAGAGTAGTAAAAGGTGATATTTTGTTCCATTTTTTGTCAAAGCACAATAAAGACTATTATTAAATAATATTGATAGAAACACAGGAAGATTTTAAGCTTACTAGAAATGACTTCCACATTTGTTAAGTATAGTGGAACATATAATATGATTTTAAAATAATTAAAAATATGATTTCTCATGTGGATGGAGATTCAAATAATTAATCTGTTGGCTAAGAAAGTGAGTGAGGAAAACACATTTAAAAAGTAAATACTACATAAAATGTGAAACTCTGAAATTTATACTTAATAAATACAAATAAAAAGTAAATGAAATGTATTTTAAAAGTCATGTTAAGAAGCTAATAAAAGAAAATTATAGTTTTAATAGAAAATGAATTATGACATTAATTTTGAATGTGTACCACCCATATTGCTTACTCTCTTAGCAAAGATGATGACTATTCTTTTTTTTTTTTTTTTTGGTCTTTCTCATTTTTATCGGTACCAGGGATCATATGGTGATGACTATTAATAAATGTTTAACTACTTCATTTTATAAAATATTAAACAATTTTAACAATAAACTTTAGAGATTTTTCTAAATTGCAATGAATTACATTTGAAATATCTAACAAATATAACATTTCATTAAACTGGAAGAAAAAATGACAAGAAATGGATAGAATTTTTGGCGTGCAAGAATAGAATTTTTGGCTCAGCTAAAAAGATAAGAAGTATGAAATAAAAGTGGCCTTTATTTTAAGAATGTGTAGAGAGAATCCATGACCCTTCGGGGTCTGGCATTCTCTCTATCAGACATGTGGTGTGGGGGCATACATGTAGCTTAGGTTTGTGGTGATGCCTAAGGGGCATTAGTGATGCACAGGTAGCCCACTGGTATTCATTTCATGCCACAGGTAAATTGCCTACGAGCGTGAAAGGTGACCTCAAGATAGAGCCCTTGGGTTCCACCTCCCAGCCTCCCATGGCTACAGTGTCCCATCTGGGGCAAAATCCTTTCATTCCTGTCTTTTGATTATTAAGAAAAAGGGTGAAGATTTCTTTTTTTCAGTGCTTCCTGCTAGAAGGGGGCGCTGTACTGGGTGGGGTTTAGGAGTGTCGACAGGATGACGGTTGATGTGTATGTAGAAGCTGGTGCCAGGTGTTTTAACCTGGACAGCTTTATCATTGGTGAATGCCCATACATTAGACTGGAAAAACAAAGAGACAAGGTGTTATGAGGAGGCATGGCCCTATCATATTTAAGGGCCCAGGTGAGGTAGAAGGAAAGGTGCCTTTGATTTGGATATGTCATTTTATCAGGACTATGTTGAGGTAGAATCATTGCCATGGTAAGGTAGAATTCTGAAAAATACGTGTGGGGTTATGAAAGGTGATTATTCCCCCATCTGAAAGGGTAAAAGTTAAGAGGGTAGGTAGGTAAGACTTGTGTCTTGTATGCATGATGTGGGAGTCTTTAGGAAATACTGTTGAGAGTTCTGCTGTAAAAAGGGTAAGAAATTAGGAACCAAATTGGATAACAAAACAGATAGCCTGAGAGTTGTGGCTGTGAGGCCTTGGTGAGGTGGAGATGAGTGGGCAAAAGGATGGTTAGATTAGGGCTGGAAGGGCACCACATAGCCTGAGTGATGTGAAATCAGGATGGCAGTCTAGCAACTTTGACCGCTGTTGAGGTTGCCAAGAGGACCAGGTATGGGCCGCTCTAACTTGGTTGTAATCCTTGTGATGATTTGCTGTAACAGGACTTTAGTAAGAATATCAGCAGTCTCCCTGGTTGTGGGAAAGGCTTTTATGTATCCTGAAAAAGTATAAACAAAAGTGAGAAGATAAAATTTATCTGTCAGTCTTGACCACGGTTGTGTCTGAGAAACTGGTGAATAAGAAAGGAAGGGGGTGCTATATATCCCTCAAGAGAGGTTTACTAGCAATAACAGGTGTAAGCTGTTGAGGCCTCAGAGTGTCTGCATAAACACAAAGGAATAAAAAGGCATTTTTAAGATTTAGGACTGTAAATTGAGCGGTGGAGGGAGGGTTTGGCACCACTGGGTGGATTGGGACAAAGCAGTCTGGAACCTGCATGAAATAGGCCCTGTCTGTAAAGGCTGCATAGGTTGGCAAGCAATACCCTCATAGCAGCCTGAAAACTCAGGAGGAACCCTATACATGGCCTCTATGTCCACAAGTATAGAGAATGTCTTACCTGAGACCTCTAGTGGGACTTGGGACTCTGAGAAGGACACCTTAATGGGGGCTGTGGGCCCCGAGCCCTGTCAGTCTTTAGCAGCAAGTTTAAGCAGATCTGTCAGCGATGAATCTGGCAGTGCTGGCATTTCCTGTGAGGGCTAGAAGTTAGGATGGCTTGCCCACTCTCTGGTGGCTAGATCAGTCCAGTAGCCCTGGTGTAAGGTCCCAAAGGAATACCAGGATGGGGCATTCTCTTGCCCAATGTCTTTCTGCTGCATTCGAGGCATGATCCATGAGGGGGGGGCAGACAGCTCCATTTTGGGTCAGTTTACCTGTCTCAGAACTCAAAGTGTCACTGCTAAAGATCTTACTGTTATTTTTTTATCTCTGTGGTTGAAAACACAAAAAGCCATATTAAGAAGGTCTCCCTGTGAGGTTTGAGGGCCAAGGTTAGCCTTTTGTCTTGGGATCTGGTCCACAGTAGAAGGTATCTGTAGAATTAATTAAGTATGTAGAAGTCAAATACAATCAACAGGGTATTTATGATTATAACTTTATATAAGTATCTCTTTATACTGTTAAAATGTCTAATGCCATCTGATTTTTGGAGAATGGCCAGTTTTATTAATTTTACCTTTTTATTTAGGAAAGAAATCAGCTATGATGTCATTTAATGTCAGTTGAGTATAGTTAATTATGGCTCGGTGGAGGGCTGAGCCAAGACAGGCAAACAGGCTGGGCAAGGCTCAAGCCTGGCCTCTGCCCCAGTGTTGATCTTGTTGTTTTGTAAGCATCTAATAACCTTTTTTTTGAAAAAGATCAATGGTTTCCAGCAAAAGAAATCCAAAAGGAATTTATAATTATCTCTTAATTTTAGTTGTTAAACATCTAGAAGACTGGTAACAATACAGTACACTATAGGCAGTAAGCTTAACATAGAATATTAAATGGCTATCAACCATGAGCATTTTAACATTCGAACGCCGAAGAAATTTGTGAAACATCTCTAAACATATGTCTGGATCTGAAAGAAAATATTTGTCTTCATGCATTACATAAATTTTTGTTTAAAATTATTATTTGACTGGTTTACTCATGGTCTGATTTGTATTTTTTGGCTGAAACACAAGAAAAAGGGCAGCAGAAACAATCCCAATTTTATATTTGAAAGCACGAATATATCATCAGATCAGCAACAATGAATTGCCCGCTGCGACCTGTTGTCTCTTTTTTTGTGTTGGTGCTCAGAGCCGCACTGGCACTCAGGGGTGGGGGCTGGGACTGCTCCAGAGACATGTGGAACGTGCAGGGTGGGGCGGAACACGGAGGGTGGGGGGCGGAACAGGCAGGGCAGACGGACACGGAGCTGGGGCCTGGTGTGAGGGCCCAGAGCAGCTCGTGCAGTCCAACATTGTCCGTGTGTACCTCCCCCAACACTGTCTGGACACACTTCCCCCATCTCTGTGGGAAAGGCGGGTCGGCATGTGGCGAGGGGATGGGGGGGAGGAACTGAGAAATGGGTCAAGCGGGTGAAGCAGGGAGGAAAGGAGGACACTGAGAAAGCTTTAAAAGAGGTTATGTTATCTCCTAAGTGTGGGGAGGGGGAAGGATCCTGGAGGAGCAGAGGGAGAGAAGGACACATTCTCAAAATAAAGGCCCAAAGATGGAGAGTTTTTTTTTTTTTAATTTTTATTTTGAAAGTGTACAACAGAACAAGTCAGAATAAAGCCAACTAAGATCGTACAGTGAAATTGGTACAGAACTTCACAGCAGGTTACCGGGATAACAGTAATAGGTATCACAGTATATTTTGTTATCTTTATAATAGTTGTTCTTTCAATCCCGTATATCAAAATGAGATGAAATATAGAACACTATAGAACTTATCAAAACAGAATATTGAATAGAGCAGTACCATTAATCACAAAAGAGCAAAACAGTAATAAAAATATTTGCCTTCAAAGAAATGGTAGAAGGAAGTCCCCCTTATTTGCTATGGTCAACCTCCCAGGAGATGCTCAGACTTCTGGTTCCCACTTGCTAATGGGCGGGGAGGAAGAGGAGAAGGAGGATAGGGGAAGTGTGATATTTGACTCTAGGCCATGTAGCAATAGGTTCACTATTGCTGCAGGGAGGCAGAATGGTCATTTGTTTTCACAGCATCCTGAGTTCCAACATGGCGTGGATCTCAGGAGACACTGCTAGTTCTCCCCCTGGAAGGGCTGCAGTGGGCCACACTACCGCCGCTTACCAGGGAGGGGAGGTGCTGGCTTGGCTTTTCAGAGTCCTAAGTTCCAACATCAAGAGTTTTTGTAAACTTGTCATCAGTGTGATAAGCTATAAATAGGTATGGTTGTTTGGGGGGACAGGAAGTGGTCCCTAAGATAAGTAAATCCAGTGTGGAATCCAGCTGATGGAGTCACAGTCAGGTGAGGCAACAGACCATGGTCTAATCAGGTCAGGTCGTCATCTTAACCTTTTAGACCGAACGGTATTTGGTAATTGGTTCCAAAGCTCGTGTTTCTTGGTCATCACCAAAGGCATGAGTGGAGTTCCCGTGGATTACAGTAACGGCTCTGCCCGTAAAAGCTTAAAGGCTCTAAGGGATGTGAGAACTTACAGTAAAAGCCCTGCCTCAGGGCTATCTAAGGATGTGAGAGCGCCATTCCAATCCAGGGAAGGGGAAGAAAACCCGCGTGGGGCTTGGCCCAGCGCTGAGTAATCTCCAGAGTTTGCTAAATGAATTAGACCAGTGTTGTTTGCAAACCATCAGCGACAAATTTAGCAGCTCCCACGTGTTGAGAAGTGAGGAATTAATCCAGTATGTAGTCCAGTTCATGAATAGCAGGGGACTCACCAGCAGTCTCTCATCTACAGTTCCTGATTACGGAACCATCTGATAGAATTTTTGGCATGGAAGGGAACCATCTGATAGAATTTTTGGCATGGCTAAAAAGATAAGAAATATGAAATAAAAATGGCCTTTATTTTAAGAATGTGGAGAGAGACTCCATGACCCTCGGGAGTCTGTCATTCTCTCGGCCAGACATGTGGTGTGGGGGCATACATGTAGCTTAGGTTTGGGGTGGTGCCCAAGGGGCATTAGTGATGCACAGGTAGCCCATTGGTATTTGTTTTGCACCACAGGTAAATTGCCTAGGGGTGGGGAAGATAGAGCTCAAGACAGAGCCCCTTGGTTCCACCTCCCAGCCTCCCACTGGTACAGTGTCCCATCCGGGG